AATTTGGGCTCAAATTGCTACCCCTATCTCCTATACAAAACAATTTTAAATTCTGTATACTGAAAATATAAAAAAGTTCACACTATACTATATATATTTAACCGATTGTAAGTGATAATTTATTGGCTTTTAGGTTATTAAGTAATGATGGCATTTAAAGTTGTACATTATGAGTGAAGAGAAGTTAAAACTCATTCAAAAACCCCAATGAAGTGGTGCCCCTAACCTAAGGACGCGTCACGGCTTAGCACATCCACATCCAAACAAATGTCCTTTAAAACATGCTTACATAAGAGATATTTATGAATATGCATGGTAGTTAGTTTAATTATAAATGAGAGTGGTACCCTACAAATACTAATGTTTTATAACCGTTGCTTTCTTACAGCCTAAATCAAGGGCCCCTTTCTACGAATGCATATCAGTATCATTACGGATCTTCATAAATCACCATCATCTACATATATAAGTCATATAAATCAATACATGCAGTACTCGATTTTATAACAAATTTACTTATAAATACACAGAAAAGTTGTTGACTGATGGTTTCTCTTTTCTTGTTTGTGTACCTTGTCTGAACCAAAGATTTGGGTAAAATTATACGGAGATGATACCTCCACGTTGACCTCATAGGTCCTTTATGTACTTTGCTCTTTAATATTTACTTCATCCCACCTAGGAATAATTGAAATCTTAACAATAGAACTATGCATTATCATTGGAATACTATTCGTCATGATCAATAAATTAATGAGGAACAGTAGTATGCACTAGCATTGCAATACAAATAATTAACTACATTAGTACCAAAATTCCCCAAATTAATAATAGAAGAGCACATAGTAATTAAGTGTAGGACATGTTTACCGATGCAAGATCCTAAAATGGTACATGATGATCATTTATCTACACATCAAAACAACTAGTTCTATTTTTGGAAGAGGTATATATATGGCTTGCAAAAAGTTGTAAATCAAATAAATACTATCCATCAACCCAATTTTACGTGTATGCTTACTAATTGAAGGAAAAAAAAACTAACAAACGTTATGAACATTAAGGTCAAAAAATGCTTTAATTTTGTTTAGACACTCGATATATTAATTATGTTACTAAAGAATATGTAAAAAGTAGAGATTAAAATGGATTTCTTTCCTTTTAATCATCATGTTACTCAATTCTAAGGTCATTTGAATTAGGATAGAGCCAGAGACGAGACAGTTCTTATGCATATTATGTACTGTCCTTTTATGTGTCTTAGATGGCGTCTATTAGCTTATATATACAAGATCAAGGTTTTATAATCTCTCTCAAATAGATATTTACTTTATATTATTTTCAAGTAATGATATGTAAAAAAATTAGAAAATATTTATTTACCCACATATTAATATTAAAATTTTTTGTCAAGCAATGTCAGACGATGTGTCTTACTAAAGGGTGTCTCCGCCACTAAATATATATACCTTATCAATCATTGGTTTTGACACCAACCTACTAGACCCCTCCGATCCATCCTAGGCCCCCCATCACAAATAAATCCTTTCTTGACAGAGGTAAGTAAGAAGAGAGGATGCATTTGACCATCAGAGTAATAAATGAGGTAAATCTGTAATATGGCCTCCAAAATATTCTCATGTTTCATATAAGTGTTGGAGCAGTCGCAGCGTAGTACTGAGAATAAGTTGAAATCGTACAAACAACAAAATGAGCTGTTGATTGTTACAAGAATTTAGACTTTCAAACGCGTAGAAAATTATTCATATGTATCTTGGATCTTCCATAGTTTCATAAACACACACTCATGGCCACAAAATATATATATATATATATATATTCTTCTTTTTATCTTTGAATTGAATTTTATAATTTTGATTGACAATTGTACATGGAGATCTGACCCTTAATTGGGCAACGTTAGGGTTTGGGTGTTACTTCTATATTTTGTGTAGGGCATGTTTAGTACTACTATTATATTAGTTTGGCAATATTTTGATATTTCTCAACATATTTATTCCACTATAATGTTTTAACACTCTCTTGGTAAAGGTTTGACATATCTTATCATTATTTCGTTAAGATACTCCTAAGCTTTTAAAGTCTTCAAATCCATAATGGTTTCAATATGCTAATGATGTATGATTGGAATTTGAAGAGCCTATATATTTTTTTAAAGATGCAGACTTTAGTAGTGCTATCTATAGATAAGAACTTTTGCATTACATGTGTACTTTACTTTTGGTCCACGACAAAAATTATTTATATTCGGTAGCCGAAAAAGTATATAAAATTTGCATAATTTTTGTATATAACATACCGAATATATATATATTCAGCTATTATTTTGAGAGCGGCTATACAATGTCATTTACCTTTTTTTTCTTTAAAAAATAATTGGACTAAAATTTTGGCTTTAATATTCTGATTTTTCAGTTATGTTTCGGGTTTAAGTCAAAAAATGAAAAAACTGTAACATCTAAGAAATCCTTCTTATTCTTTTACACGAACCTTTAACCAAATCTTTTTAAAAGTTACCGATTATATCTTATACAATCGTTTTTTTTTTTTTGGTTCAAGAATATGACAATTAATTAAATTTTGCAAATTTAAGACAAATAAAGGTAGTAATTTAAATCGACCCATTGAAAGGTCTAATAAAGAGGAAAAAACAAAGAAGAAAAAATCAAAGAGAGAAAAACAAAGAAAAAACCAAAACAAGAAATGCTCATTGTTGTTTAGTGAAGATATAACAAATCGAACCATTGAACTCAAAACTGGGTAAACCTAATGAATGTGCATCCCTGTCTTCCAGGTAGTGAAGATGTTATGATGTCAACTTCAGTGGGCTATATTTCTATGAACTTAGACAAGCAGGTAGCCTAAAATTTAGCAAATAAGCAAAGAACTACGCAAAGTAGGGAGCTGCTGCAATCATACTCACCACCTTACCCAATTACTGCAAATTAAATTTGTTTCAAAATAATTTGACATTTTCAAATATAAGAAATTGGGGTAAATTTCACAAATAATCATATAATTATGACTTTTTTCCCCAAAGTCATATAACTTTATTTTCTCGCAAAAAAAATCATAAAATTATCATTAACTCACACAAAAATCATAGTGACCGTAAAACACAATTTTTCAATAGTATTTTTTTGTTCCACGCTTTTTATTTTTTATTTTTAGTCTAATAAATAATAACCCAATTAAATAGGAGAAATACACACACACACACACTATATATATATATATATATATGGGTAACAAATGCAATTAGTTTTGAACCCCGTTAATTTTGTATTTTCTCTTAAAATAGGAATGACCCAACCCAACTTACCCAATATCTATATACATAAATTAAATAATTCTAAAGTGAATCCTTCCCCCACAAAAAACTTAGTTCGGAATGCAGGAGAGTCTTACCAAAAAAAAAATGTATAATTTGAGGGTAGTGAAACAAAAATAATATCAATTTGAATGAAAATCTTGAAAAGAAAATAAAAGATAGAAGTATCTTGTTTTGAAGGATTCACTTTTAGTATTAGTTTAACTTATATATATGAATTTTGGGTCGGCTGAGTCGGGTTGGATCATTCCTATTTTAATAGGGTTATTATTTATAAGACTAAAAATAAACAATAAAATAATGTGGAATAATAACATACTAAATGTTTTCCGGATACTATGATTTTTGTGTGAGTTAGTGAAAAATTCGTGATTTTTATGTGAGAAAATAAAGTTATATGACTGGTGAAAAAAATCATAATTATATGACCATTTGTGAAATTTACCCCTAGAAATCGTATACTATCTCTCTTTCAACTCTACCTTTAGTACTCCAATTAAGTGTCAAATAAGTAGGACGTTTAAGAGAAATAAAGAATAAGGGTTGGGATTAGCTCCAATTAAATACTCTTATGATTAAGGATGTGCAAAAATCTTAAAGAAAAATAATATGAACAGGAAGAGTATTAAGTAGCAATGTAAACGAAATAAACTGCTGCTTATAAAGCTGAAACATGATATTGGGAATAGAAAATATGATTTCAATTTAGATTCCTAACTATATTTGAATGGCTCCAACTGAAACTAACACCTAGTCACACGTGTGAGATTCTCCTTTCCCATATTTCCTTTATTAACTATATATACATCACATGTATGATTCTTGTTGCATGGTTTATCTAGCGACAAGTTAATAAAAGAAAATAACTAAAAAAAATAATAATGTAAGAGCCGTTCATTCATAAGCTTTATAGGTCATGGTTTTTAAAAAAATTATTTACTACATAGGGGGAGGAGGGGAAAGAAGAAGGGATACTACGGTACTAATGACGTTTAAACCCTCGATCAGTGGCAGAGCTACATTCAACTAAGGACTGTCGATATATCACTTCGCGGGAAAATTACACTATACTACTAGATAAATTTTTTTATTTTATACTATATATATTTACTATACAATGACTCCCCTTAATTTTACGGTGTATTTAAATTCTTATATTTTAATACCCCTTAGTGAAAATTCCGACTCTACCACTGCGCTCGACCTCAACTGTAGAAGAGATGTAGCTCATAACCGAGCTTGATGTGGCATTAGTGATAAGTTAACATTTACTAAAAAGGAAATACGTATATGCTTCTACTTTGATTATACGAGATGAAAGTTGCTAGTTTGCTACTACCTCAAGCTTTAGTCCATAATTCCCTTTTTTCCTTTAAATTTTGGTGAGAATCCCTAAACTAATGATAAGACACTTTTGAAATCAATAATTGAACCGGAAAAGTCCTAAAAGCAATATAGGATCTAATAAAAGATACTTCATCAGTCATTTTCATTCCTTTCTGTGTGATCCTAAAGTGCTGTCACTATAAGAATCTTTGCAGAAATTCAAATTTTTTTAGGAGTTCTATACAACTTACTTTTACTATTATCCTCTTTTTAATTATTTTATAATACATTAAACAAAGTATATTACTTAAATATTCTAGAGTCAACATCAAACTCTGATTTTTCAATCTTATTTTAATATTCATGCCTGTCAAAAATAGAGAATGAATAACCCAAAGGAAAGACAATAAATTGGGTGTAAACCATGAAAGACCAAGGTTCAAATCCAACATAGGAAAAAAACACTAGATGATTTCTTCCTACTCATTTGAATCTTGACGGATAGAGTTATCCGGTGCATATGCTGATGAAATGTACCAAATACCTAATGAATAGTCGAAGTACGCGCAAGATCATCCTGACACAACTGTTATAAAAAAGAAAAAAGAAGAGTAAGAGAAAGATATCTAAAGCAGAAGAAGGTACCTGCATTCATTAATTATCCAGTGAAGGACCGAAAATACTTGTGATAAGAAACTATTAGAGAACGAAAGAGCCATAAAAAGGCTTACAAGAAGAGTGAAGAAGACAAGGACAACTCACATAAAAGAGCAGTAAATTAATCCCTAACTTTGACTTGTATCCTCTTATATGTCTGCAACATCTCCATCAACAGTACCATATAGATATTGATGTTTTACCAGATAATAATCCAATAAATGCTTTTAACTTTATTCAGTCTAAGTAGTGGTCACCAATAATCAAGGACATTACAATTGACTTAAGAGATTACCTTGGACTTTGAGACAATGAGAATATGTTAACCATGAATCACTAGCTATCGCTTTTGTCAACAATTGACACTCTTAACCTTTCTACCTTCTGATGTAGCAGAAATCTCTTCTACCCACTTGTCGTGTGTGCGAACAAAGTCCCACATTGATAGCTTAAAAGTTTCCCAGGACCCTGCTACTAAGAAGGATGTTCACTTCTTAAAATATCCTTATATACGTAGGCGGATACGTGGGGAAGGGGTCAGATTTATCCCGACGGCAGCAAGAGTAACAATACTGTTTATAATGCTACAGCAGCAAGTATAGTAAGCAAAGCCCAGTACTGCAGAAGAAATTAGACGAAGTACTCCAGATACGAAGTATGGAAAGGTGTCTATAACTTCTCCCCCGGGGCCTACCCCCAACCTAGAGTAGCTAGGTGGGGTGTAGGGATCTCTTAATGGTGTGAGGTCTTTTGGAGAAAACCGTGCAGGTTTGGTGAAAAGAGGGCAATATCACATCATGTTAAGAATATCTTTGGGGCGGTTTAGCCCAACACCACCATCAACATTTAACTTCATGTTTTTGGCTTTATTTAACTTGCAAAACAACAGGATGCAGGTAGTGAAAATTAGAAAATGTCAAGAAGTGAGAGTTTATTTCTAAGTTTACCAAATCAAGAATGGGATTGGTCTCCTACACATTAAATGCTTACCGTGCAATGGAGTTAATTTTCTTGTCTCCTGAAATAAATGCACCAATAAAATTTCAATGCTTGCAATAAAACACATAAGGGTCAGAGCTTCTTACCCCTTCACCATCTTCATTGGGGAATCCAACGATCAAAGGTACAAAATGTTATATGTCAGGAACAAATAACATGGTTCATGTCATCGCATGAATAAGACAATGTCAAGATCAAACTTAACTTCATGTTGATGAATCTTATGGTATATGTTCTCATTTGCATCATAAATCCATGTTCCTTTTATCTGAATGCAGCAGCAGCTATCCATGCCATTGAGTATTAAAGACATGTAAGGACTACCATGAACAGTAAGCTTTACATGTACGCATAATATTTATGTGCAGCAGCCTTAGCTTGCTCATCCGTGAAATGACTGAACGTCTGAAACAAATAAAAAATCAACTACACAGGCCATCTGACTTAATCAGACAACTTTGATAATTAGTCGGGAAGTAATATCAAGATCGCTGGGAAGGTCTCTCAGAAGAAATGGTAAGATACTATATAAACTGTTACTATACTTGACCTGATGGTCACTATATCACATTATAAGAAGTGGAAGAAGAAAAACAATGATTTTTTTATCTTTCTTCCTCACTTATTCGGTTGGAAACTGATCGCTTGTCAGAAATTTGTAATGAACTCTGAGATGTGTCTATTTCCTGTAACTTAAAAATTAACAACATAAGGCAAACTAAACAAGTTACATGAAACGTTGTGCTTTATAACACTAAAACTGTGGTTTATGTGCAACTATAACAAGTCACATGAAACATTTTACTATATAACATTAAACTGTGGTTTATATCAACTATAATTCACTTATTCATTTCCATGAATCAAGAATAAAAGAATGCACTCCATCAAATCCTTTTTGAAGTTTTCAAGACAGCCCAATTTCTATTCAATACATGACTGCACAAGGAAATGAGCATTCGTTCTTACCCTTTTCTCCTCGTTGGACTAAGTATGAAATCATCTTCGTCATTGTTATCAGTTTTAATCGTGTTTTTGATTTTACATCGCCATTCTTTGATTCTTGCTGCAGCACTTTGGAACTCTGAGGTTTGCTCGAGATTAGTGGTGGCAGAGACTTGACACGGGTCCCTGTGCGAATTTGGTTTTGCTTCCTCTGCTTTTTTTTCTCTAGTACCTTCTTTTCTCTCTCAGGTGATACCAGACCGTGTTCCATTAACCTGCAAGTATATGCCTCAGTCCACATATTTCAACATTCTTGTAGATTCAATCTATTAAATGTTGGGTCATTCCCAATATATGAGTCAGTGAAAGATGCATAGAGGGGTAAAGTTTACGGGGAACCCAAAAGTGAAAAGGAACATGGCTAAGAATCAATATATAGCTGAAATCAAGCAAGACATATATAGATTAAGCATTAACATGATCTATGTATCGAAAATAAAAATAAAAATTAATCAGAAGCAAAGATCATAAAATTCCTCGTCCTTGAGCTAGTATTGTATTCTAAAACTTCAATATCTGGTTCATGATAAACCCATTCACTGAATGAGGTTACTTTTCAGAAAAGTCAAGTTCACTAAACAATGACTAAAATAAGAACTGAGACTATGTAATACAATCCCACTAAATGTGTTTCATTACACCTCATCCATATGGTTTCTGTATAATAGTTTGACCAAGCATTCGAGAACTAAGCTTCATACTTTTGACATCTGACAAAATTTATATTACAGTTCTTTGAGACCAAAATCGGATGTATGCATATGACAGGGGATTTGGATGATATCTGGGGCTACCGCTCCATGTGGTTGAAATGTGAAATATGTCAATTCTGAATTTGGACATTGACTCCTTCATCCTGGTCCACGTGAAATGAGCACCTGACATCAACTAGCTAAAGGCTATCAATAAACTCTGAACACTTCATTGCCCTAGAGAGTCAAATTCCATCCTTTCATCCAAATAACTCATCGTATTAAAATTTCCTCCTGACATCTAAGAACTCTTCATTCTCAAAACAAACATGAAAGTTCATCCCAGAACTCCCTTTGGGACCCCTCACCCGTTGACCTGTACACATAACTCTAAGTTATATTGCTATCTGTACTCTTGAATGACAAAGCAATGGAGAAGCACCTTTTTTTACCTGTACCATCTTCAGCTTCCTCTCATCCTATGATGCAAAACTCACTTCGATACTTCTCCTGGTTGGGATCGTTTCACCCAGGAATTTAAGGGAAGAACACCGTGTTTCAAAAACTTCCTGGACAGATGTTGTCATTCCCGGGCTGAATTTCATTGTTGAAAGTGAGAATTTGTGGGGTAAAATTCAAAAATAGCCAGATTTACAATTGGTCGTTCAAAAATAGCCCAGTTTCAAAAGTAATCGAAATTTAGTCACTTTTCATGTAAAGATAAATCTGAGCGAAAACACTTTTCAAAACCCGGAAAATATGCCAGTATATTATGCTGGAGTTCCAGCATAAGTATACTTGAACTCCAACATATTATACTGGAGTTCCAAGATAAGTATGCTGGAACTCCAGCATATTCAGTAAGTATACCGGTCCAGCATAATATACTGGAGTTTGGAGCACCGGTGCTCCAGTGTCCAGTATATTATACTGGAGCCAGCAAAGTATACCGGTCCATATTATGCTGGAGTTCATGCACAGGTGCACCGAACTTCAGTATATTATGCTGGACCAGTCTCTGCTGCAGCAAAATAGTGGCTATTTTTCATTGACTTGGTAAACGCTGGCTATTTTTGAATGACCAGTCCGAAATGCCGTGCTATTTTGTGCAAATTACTATGGGGTCAAGTATGACTTAAGAACTAACTTGAAATGCCTAACAAGGTTCTGCATGAAAGAAGACATCGAGGGATGACTTCGCCCCCTCATGTTATCAGCAAAAATTATCAAGTCTGACAAGTGAGGAAATTGCAACTCCTGAAGTGTTTCTATTGGGGGAACCAATGATAGAATAAAATAAGGTAACTGTATGAGGCAATGCCTTAATAATACTCTACAGACAGGGTAGACAGGATATCTCGTCTATCGCATCTGTTTTTTTATTTGTTTCGATCAGAAGTTATATTTAGCAGACAAATATGAACTAGGTAAAGTATACTTGTTTATTCTCTCATAATTCATACTGAAAAATGAGACATGTCATCTAGAAATGTGTTTGGCCAGTAAGAACATGGGATACACATGTTTTGGTAGACATATGCCACAATCCAGAAGATGCAATTTCATTTCACAACATAATAAAAGATCAGTCACTTATAAACACTACCAGACATCTGACAGGGCATAACGCGAGGCTAACTCATATATAAATACTGAAGCACCTCTCTCAGCAAACAAATGATGAATTTGTCCTTCACTTGTAGGGTGGTGTAGAACATATCTTCTGCAGATAAACATAATGATGGTTATCTCTTCCTTAAGCCATTGCCTTATACGTTACATCTTTGTCTTTCGACCTTGCCAATTCCTGTTGTTCTTGCTAACTTACCCAAGTACTAGTACTGCAAGAATTTAATCAACTCCCCGGAAGCATCTAATAAAGTTCTCATAATCCACTTCTCATCCAAGCTTGGATGATAGTTGGGGATCATGTTAAACCCAATTTACACAACAGGATCTCACCTTACATATTAAGGGCAATTTAAGGACCAACAAGCATGTATAGTCTGCATAAAAGAGAACTTTCTTCCTCAACCATAAATCATAGTAAGTTAGAACAACCCTTGGACCACCAGAGGTTGCACATTTCAGCGAAGTAGAAGCATGAGGGATCTTTAGATGGAGGCCCTAAGCTTCCATGAGGTTTTTATATGTACATGATGGGATCTTACAATAAGGTCTAAGGATTGTGAAAGACTATTTTCCCTAGAAATATAGGCTACTGTTAGCACACAATTTTATTGTTTTAAGCTTTTAGCAGGGTTCTGTCCGTTTGAAAAAATATGTGTTATGCAAAGTCTTATCCATGACGAGATAAAAATGATGAAGACGTTCATGTAATGCAAAGCTCATATTCTGAAGACCAAGTTCAGCATTGAGATATATAAAATGAAACCAGAAGAATCACAAGTGGTGTAGCAAGTATGATTATGATGTTTAAGTTAATGTCATCATTTCCTCAATTTATGGATTCTATAACTCAACTTGGATTTTGGGACATTAGAAGTCCCACCATAAAAACAAATGTCCTACGTGTCGTTAAAGGCTGCAAGGAACTTCCTTCAAGGGATTGGACCAGCAACTTGGAAGTTGAGATGTTCTTCTGAATGGAAACATTTGACGGCAGAAGACCACATGAAATCGAGCAGATCAATTTTTTAGTTGATGAATGCCATATTCTCAAAGTTTCCAAGAGAGGGCAATAAAGACGCAAAACAAGAAAGGTTCACATAACGACACCTTACTGCAATAATATAGCAATGCTGTGATCAATTCTTTATATTGAAGAAAATACATCAGGCATCTCAAATTTTCTAGCGAACATCGTTTCCTATATATGACATTAAAGATGTGGGCAGAGTTACCTGAAAACTGTGCTGATGGGAGGTAGAAGGTAACCGATGGAATAGTTGAGGTGTGCGCAAGCTGGCCCGGACACCACCATCATCCACGAAAAGAAAAAAAAAAGGTCTTTCCATTTTTACTTCTAGACAATATCAATATCTCTGTGTTAGTATCTGTTATTAAGTTTGTAAGGCTCACAAATCAACACCTTAATGCAATGATGCAGCAATGTTGCTATCAAAACTATTCAACAAAAATTTATCAATCCTATTTCGTAGGAAACAACATTCCTGTGTCTTGAAAACACAATATCAAATTGTACTTCAATGCATGACCAATTACTCCATATTAGTAACAGTAGCAGAAAATTTTGTGAAATGGAAATAGGAATGTAAAGCAAGAAAAGCAACCTTAAGGCAATGATACAATAACATTGTTATTGAAACCAAATATTTGTAGAAAATACATCAACAATCTCCTTTTAGTAGGAAACATCACTGATCACTCCTATGACAGGAAAGATCCACTGATCACTCCTATGACAGGAAAGTACTTCAGCACATGCTCAATATCTTCTTATTAGCAGGAGTAAAGTGAGTTTTGTACAATAAAAAAAAAGATGTGAAATAATTAAAGGCTTACGTAATGACACCTTAACGATCAAACAGCAACATTATTAAAAACTTAATATTGAAGAAATACATCAAGCATCTCCTATATCTCAGGAAACCCTATTTCCTACGACATAAAAAGTCTAATATCCACTTTTACTCATATACACGAGTAAGCTTTGTAAAATGAAAATAAAGACGTAAAACACAAAAGGCTCAAGTGAAAATAGCTTAATGGAATGGCACAGCCAAGTTGTTATAAAACATTTATACTGAAGAAAATACATCAAGCATCCCCAATTTCCCAGGATATCATTTCCCCTGACATGAAAAATCTAACATTCGCTTTTACTTCTAGACAAGATAGATATCTCTGTATCAGTAACTTGTTGTAGTAAGTCTTGTAAAATGGAAATAAAGATGTAAAACAAGAATGTCTCATACACGAGACCTTAACACTATGACACAACAATGTTACTATCAAAACTTTATATTGAAAAATCACATCGAGCATCCCCTATTCCCTAGGAATCATTGTTACCTATGACATGAAAAATCTAATAGCTCTGTAGTGTACCTGTTAGCATCAAGCTAATAACATGAGGAAATAGTCGATTGGGGTATTTTGTTAACAATTCCATTCACAGTTTATGATTGTCTCCTTTTAAGTAAATTAGTTCTGATATTAATAAATGCATGTTTCACCATCTAGTTTTGTTTTGTATATACACTTGAAGAAAATGATGAAATCTTTGAGGCAGAGAAACGGATTTGAGGATCATGAGTGGATCATGCCAAGCAGACCTCGATTTATCGAAAGTCCTAATCCTAGACATCCCTAGTTAGAGAAAGGTTATTGGTAAATCATTTAGACCAACACCTTCTATGCATGCTCGATGGAGAGGATGGTGAAAATTTTGTAAAATAGAAGTAAAGATGTATAACGGGGAAGGGCTCACATAACACCACCTTAATGTAACAATGTTTAATCAAAACTAAACACTGAAGAAAATATCTCAAGCATCTTCTGTATTTCTCGGGAAACATTTTCGAAGACATGAAAAATCTAACATTCACCTTACTGCTGAACATGATCCAATATCTGCGTATTAATTCCTCCTTGGTAAGTCTCGCAAAATGGATATACCTTTAGAACTAGTTGTGCTAATTGATATCAAATCCCATACGAGTATAGTGCTACATATGACTCTTAGGACAAAAAGCAGTCTCCCTACTTGTCAAGAAAACTTACCAAAACTCTGCTATTTTCACTTGAAGGTATCTTTTTTGGAAATGATTTCATAGAATAACCTCAATTGGTGTTTAAAAGGCAACAAATAAATGAACTTATCGACAAGATAAATAATTAATTCACATGAAAAACAAGATATCTCACACACCCAGAAAAAGAAAATAACAAAGAAACCACAGGAAAAGTGAAATCTTGAACTACATAGAAACAAAAAGATATGATCTTGCTTAAGGGTACCTCAGTTTTAGAGACAGTAATGGTGGATTTTCCCTCATGTGGCTTGAAAGAGATCACAGATGAATCAATTTTAGGCGGCCGAACCCACTTTTGATAGCTACTGTCAGATTTGACCTTTGACCACCTTAGTTTTTGTCTCAGTAGCCATACGTTTTTTTTAATCAATTATTGGATTCATCAACATCATCATTCATTTCTGTAGTGAAATTTGGTGGGTTAAACTGTTTCTAAACTTAGTTTGGTGGAGTACTCAGTTTTTTCACAGACATTACCGGTACTTTTGCGGCAAAAAGGTGGTAAGTACGTTGCAGCCTGATCATAACTCATAATGTGTTCTGGAAGATGAAATATGGAAATATTTGCAACGATGACGTTGCCATAGAATGGCCTAGGAGTGTTAAATGGATATTCCAAAACCGATTGAACCATACCACACTCAATTGATTTTTAGGTTTTTTTTTTAAGGAAATCACAAGTTTTTATATAAATGTATAACCACACCGATAATTAGAGTAAGTTTTTTATTTAATGAAAATAAACCAAAAAAATATCGAATCGTACCAAATAAATTTTACATGTGAAAAATATATTTATATAATAAATTTAAAAATAATAATGCATTAAATTTTTCACTGGGCCTTGGAATTATGAAAACTGTTACAAGCCAACAAGTAATTAAACTCAAAATACTAATTTCTAAAACCTATTATGCTACTTCTGCTTAAACTAAGTTATTTCAAGTATCTTCATTAGCAAGACACAAAGTATTCTAACGATTATGAGTAGCAAACTATAATGTATTGAATGAGTTTCCTTTCATATAATTTAGATTTAGCTTTTTAAATATTTAATCTTCTATAGACTTTATTCTTGAGTCCCAGCTTGGTTAATATCTTTTCACTCGTGTGATTTATATTTTTTATTCTCTTTGCTTGGTTTCTTTTATGTTGTTGTAGAATAGTTGATGGATCTATACTCTAGCCATCTTTCATTTTTTTAATCCATCACCCTTTAAACAGTAAAAATGTCTAGAGAGTTTTGCTAAGTTCTATAAAAGAACATATGTTATTGCATTCAACTTCTACTGGTGAATTTTACATGATATTTAAAAAAATACTGAAAATTAACCGAACCGTCCCAATACCAAAGAGAAACCAACATGACTGGGACGGTTTCGAAAAGTCTAATTTTGGTTATATATAATAGAATAATCAGAAAAATGGTATGGCAGAAATTTTATAAAATAATCAGCCGAACCGAACCATTGACACCCCTAGAATGGCCAATGGGGGTAAATATCTCAACAAGCCTTGTACTATTGCCCAAAGGTAAAAACATGGCCTAGTAGTTGGAAGATCCCCATTTTGTATTTTGTTTTTGCTTTAGGGAAGAATGGCTAAATTTACCCCATACTTTTAGCCGTTATCTTACATTTAACTTCCATTAGAGTATGGGAGAAAACACACCCCTGCCCTGGCAAACTTTTAAACTCTACTCCACGCCTAAAGAAACCCTCAATTCCCAAATGCTTTTTACTTAACTTAAAATTAGGAAAAAAATTTGAATAATGCTAAGCAAAAAAATCCACTGAGATGGGAATGACCTATCTGTTGATGGGGATTTATTTTCTTTATGAGATTTTTTCTATATATTTTTTGAAGATACAGTCCAAAAATTAGACAGAGTTTTGTATTGCAGTTGAACGGAATTTCTTTCTTCCAAAGAGAGTTAGTAGTAATTACCTTGAGTACATGAAGTGGAACCTTGTTCATCGGTTTTTTAATTCCGCTCTTAAGTTCAGGCGACTCTGGTTTTTTTTTTTGGTGTTTAAGCTACAATCTTGTAAATTATTGTCATACAATGAGAAGTTCAAATTTTGGTTTTGAATGTTCATATTTCAGCTATTAAACTTGTAAATTATTATCATACAATGAACATTTTCAGTTATTAGACTTGTAAATTATTGATACATGATGTTTGGCAAAAAATTCATGTTTTTGCATGTAATTTGCCTTGTATTATGCCTTGATCTTATTAACTTTGCTGTGAATATTTGTGACTCGAGCTTAATAATGATATTTATATGTATAGGAGTCAATTGGAAGTGATATGGAAAGCTTACATGCACTTTGAAGTAAAAACGGAAGAATTTGGAGGAAGTATGACTTTGCTGCCCAGGTTCGCGCCAAGCACCAACCAAAATGCCAAGGGAAGCAGAGCACAAAAGTGGAAAAATTTTGGTGTCAAGGTTCATGCCAGGCGCAAAGCGGGACTCCAAGGGCAGATTTCTCTAGGACTTGGTAATTTCGACCCTACACGCCCCTAACATGTATAAAAGTGTTCTAAACCTATTTTTTTAGAAGTTAGATATTATTGAAGAGGCAAAAGGCTACAGGAACACTTGGATGCAACGAATCACAAGAGTTTTTCTCTCCGTTCTTCCTTAATCTTTACTTTAATGCTTTTGAATATTATGATGATTGTTAAACAACTATAATTAGCTAAACTCTCCCATCTAGGATTTGATGGAACCTATTTGAGAATGACTTTCTACTGCATTTAATATAAATTTGTCTTTGATATTTCTCTATTTGTTCAACTACGTTTCCATTGTTGTTGATTGAAGAACTCTCAATTCACTATGCCTATTTAGTGTGTAATGTTGAAAAATGATACATATTTAGGTAATTGTTGAACAACATCACTCCTAATGTATACGAGAAATTAATATGAAAGGTTTAAAGGTAGAATTAGGAATAACGAAACCTTGATGCAATCATAGTGAGCGGTAAACTAGTGTCAGTTAGCGTATTTTGGAAGAATACATCTAGTAAATTGTGGTAGTTGCTCAGAAGATAACTACGACACCCAAAGTACTCACGATCAATAGAGAATAGTTAGGCGAATTTATAAAAAACATAGCGGGGAGGATTCCAACAATAGGAGAAATCATAACTCTAGACTCTTCCAATCTTGTCTACAACATTTGCTCTGTTAGTTAAAAAATTACAGCATTTTAATTACTTTTCTCTTAATTAGTAAACACTCAAATCGTTATTTAATATTTCTGAAGGTTGATTACTTGAGTTCTTGTGAAACTCGTGGTTGCGATTAATAGGTTAATTCCTTATGGGGTTCGACTCCGAATTTGTAAACCAAATTATATCTGCAACGATTGCTAGAACTCTTAGTAGGTATAGTTCGGTGTGATAAAATTTTGGTGTCGTTACCGAGTAATTAACAGTGTTATTAATTACGCCTAGAAGAATTGCTAGAATTCTTAGTTTAGTAAGCTTTCTCAACTTGAAACTCATTATATTGAAACTCTAATGTTTGTAGTCTTGTGTGTTACAAATGCATGCCTAACAACTCCTCAAGAACTGGTGAATTGTACGAAGTATTACCGGACCCTCAGAAAGTTTTCAAAGGGACTAAATCGAGCAAACAAGAAAAACAAATGACAATGGAACTCAACAGACAAAATCGAACTAGACATGGATGGGGTCATAGACAATCAAAACAACAGAAACAACGGGAATGACTAGAATAATCAGGGTGTGGCATCGCTTGTGCCAGAAGCAACCTTGTATAATTGGGCACAACCCACCATTAAAAATCTAGTAATCGCGATTGCAGTCCCTCAGATACAAGCGGAGTCATTTCAAATCACAAACAACATGCTACATCTACTGCAGAACAAGGGACTGTTCTCCGAGTCTTACATTGAAGATCCACAACAACATTTAAAAAATGTTTTGTCAATTTGTGTCACTCAAAGGCAACCGAATGTGACACCGAAAGCAATAAGACTATTTTTGTTTCCATTCTCAATGACCGGAGAGGCTCAGACTTGGCTCAATTCGCTCCCCATAAACTCCATCACTAGTTGAGAGGAATTAGTCAAGTAGTTTTTGAATAAATTTTACCCACCTAATAAGATTTCCAAGCAAGTTGATGAGATATTAAGCTTCAGACAAAAACCAACTAAAACATTGAAAAAAACGTGGGAGAAGTTCAAGGAAATGTTGGTCAAGTGTCCACACCATGGCATTCCTAATCCGATGTTGAGACAAAGGTTCTACATAGGATTGGCAGACAACTTGAAGGCTAATATTTATGCTTCAGCATGTGGAGCATTTTTTAGCAAATCATTCAGAGAATTTAAGGTCTTACTTGATAATATGGATCAAAACTCAAGATAGATGACAAAAAACTCTATAATCACTCTTGTAGTTCACTCAGTAGCCTTGGACCCAAACAATTTCATAGCTGAGAATATGGCTACTCTGATGATGCAAATGAGTATCCTTACCAAAAAAATTGATGAGTCTAGACAAAAGCAGGTGCACATAGTTGACACGACAAATGGAGGATTATGGACACCGTGCATTAACCAACCATATGTGTGTTGGTGGAGTGGTGAAAGTGAGAATCAGAACTATCAAGAGAATATGAACTATGTGGGCAACTATGGAGGCTAAAGACAAGGTGGTCAGAATTGGGGACAACAGAATCAGCAATATAGACCAGCACAACAGCAGTAAAATAATAATAATAATAATAATAATAATAATAATAATAATATAATTATTATTATTATTATTATTATTATTATTATTATTATTATTATTATTATTATTATTATTATTATTATTATTATTCTGGAGTTGTACGACCACAGGGTCAGGTTGTGCCTTATCAAAGGCAACAAGGGTACAATCAGCAAAATCATCAGCTAGCTTATCAACAACCTCAACAAAAACAGATAGTGAGACAAGATAACGGGTTGTTCGAAATTAAAGGAATGCTACAACAACTCATTGGGTCTAGCGGGAAGATGGAAAAAAGGTCCACCAGATGCAAGAAATAGCACACCAGATACATGAAAAGGTAGTATCACATGACTCAGCTATCAAGGGCATTGTGATTCAACTAGGGCAAATATCCATGGCCTTTAACAATCGTCCTCAAGGGACGTTACATGCAGACACACA